ACAATCCACACTGACCAGCTTTTAGTTAGCGACTTTTCAGAGTGTAACAGGGACGGGCATTCGGGGCAGGGACAAGACGCCACTAGGGACACGCACACCCCACACTGGAGCACCTGGGTCAGTGCCCCCCTCTGCCCCCCACAAGTTCCAGCTTCCTGTGTGTGTGCACGCAGGCAGGCTGCCATGATGGCGCGAGTGATGGGGTCCCTGCCACTCCACAGGGGCCCGGGGTTGAGTTCCCAACACCTGGCTTTTACTGCCCGGCCCAGTCCCAGCTGTTGTGGGCATTTGGGAAGTGAACCAGACAATGGGGACCCTGTCTCTCTGCCTTTCAAATAAATAAAAGTAAATAAAAACTTTTAAATGTCATAAAACCTGGGGAACCGCCACCTAAAACAAAAGCTAGGATCTTGACAATGACTTACAACCGACCACAGGGTCCCCACCCCCAGTCACATTCCCCCTGCTGGGATCCTCGCCCCAAGTCCCACATGGATTTTCCCTGTCTCCTTGCCACACGGAGTGCGTGTGTGTGTGTGACTTGAATTGCCTTTAACTTTATAAAAAGGACATCATGTTTATGTAACGGGGCTTTTCATTGGCTGTCCCATGTCGGGTGTCCGACCCCATCATGGGTGTGGCCAGAGCGTGGCGGGTGCCACGCAATGTTCCACCAAGGGAATTAAGCCCTACTCGCTCATTTGCTCTCCTGGGGGTGGGTATTTATGTGGTTTCCAACTTTTTTTTTAAAGTGGCTTATTTTAATTTGATCTGCTTGAAAAGCAGAGTGACGGGGGGAAGGAGAGAAAGAGAGGAGAGAGAAAGAGAGAGAGAGAGAGATGTTTCATATCCTGATTCACTCCCCCAGATGCCCAGAGCAGCCAGAGCTGAGCCGGGCTGAAGCCAGGAGCCTGGGACTTCATCCGGGTCTCCCACGTGGATGGCAGGGGCCTGAGCACTTGCACCGGCATCCGCTGCTCTCCAGGTGCCTTAGCAGGGAGCTGGACCGGAAGCAGAGCAGCTGGGACTCGAACCGGCGGTCTGATGTGGGCCGTCAGTGTCACAATGGCCGTTTAACCCACCGGGTCACAACACCGACCCCAACCCTCCCCTTGGATCCTTCCATCCAGGGAAAGAACCATTGGCCAAAAAAGCACAGGAACTGTGCCCCTCCCAGCCAGTCGCAGGTGGGGCTTTCTCCCGGAGATTCCCACGCCATCCAGAGGGAGGCGCTCTGAGCCCTCGCCAGTGCGGCCGGATGTGAATTTTAGGTCCGGGCACCAGCCCCTGCCTGGGGATAGGGAAGCGCACTTCCAGTGCCCGCAGCCTGCACACGGGGGACCCCCTTGGCAGTACCCACCAGGGCCCGCCCTGGACATCACCATTCTGGGGTCTCTGGTTCCTGGTGGGGCGGGAAGACCTTTCCCCAATCTGCAGCCTGCAGCCTGAGGCCCCGCCGGCTTGCAGGGGCCCTGCCTGGGTCCCTAAGATGCCCAAATGGTCCTCTCACTCTGTTTCCTGTTTTCCACCAAAACAGTTTCTCCATTGCTGAGGGCAAGGTCCCAGCGGAAGGGAGCAGGACTCAGAAAAGCACCATCTCCCGTCTCCATCGGCAGCGGGGCCTCCCACACTCACAGCCCAGTCGTGTGCGACCCTGCACTGCTCGTCATGGTCACTCCTCTCATCCTGTGTCCCTGCCGGGCCCTGCTATGCCTGGACCAGGGCCCGGGCACACAGTACAGCCTCAATAGCCAACCTAAACAGGCCAACTTGCAGCAAACCTCCTCCCGATGACCCATGGGATGAAACTCGAACCCGCAGGGGGGCTCCCCAGGCCCTGCGGGCGCCCCTGTCCACTCTGACTGCCCTCCAGGCACCCCGCCCCGCCTTCAGAGGGCACAGCGGCTTCTGGCGTGTGGCCTGAACACACCAAGCTCTCTCCCACCTCAGGGCCTTTGCACATCCTTGCCCCCTCTGCCTGCCACGTTCCGTTTCCTTCCTGCAGAAGCCATGGGAAGACTTCTGGATCTCTCTGGGGGCAGCTGAAGCAGCACCTCCTCCGGGAAGCTTTCCTGACTCCCCAGGCTGGGTGGGGCCTCTGTGAGATGTTGGCATGACATCCTGACCTTCCTTTTCCTGGCCTTTGCTGTGTGGGCTTCTCCAATTCTCGTCTGACTCCCCCACCAGACTCGGGATTAGGAGGCAGGAAGCTCACTGGGGATGAGCTCTGGCACGCAGGAGTGGCCTGGTGCTTACTGGCGGGTTGGATGGCTGGGGGATGATGATGGATGCATAGATGGGTGATAGGATGGGTGGTGAAGAAGAAGGAAGAAAAGGATAGAGAAAGGGAGAGAGATGGAAACTGCATGGGTACAAATGTAGATGAATGGATGATGGATAGAGATCAACAGCTGTGTTCACTCCTTCCCGCCACCCTTCTGTGCTAACGTCACATGCACACGCATGTCCTGGCCAGGTCAACAATGCTGGGAGAAGCAGACGCCTCATTCTTTAGGTTGAATCGTTGGTCATGAAACCACCAGCAATCACAGAGCTAGGAAAGCCCCGCGGCTCTCACAGGCAGGTGAAACAAGTGTGCAGGGAGCTGCCCCAGGCTTGAGGAGCAGGTGAAAGATCTAGAAAAGTGGCAAAACAACCTGCCCCCTTGGGGCTGGTGCTGTGGCGCAGCAGGCTAAGCCTCTGCTTGTGATGCCACATCCCATGTGGGCACTGGTTCTGGTCCCGGCTGCTCCACTTCCGATCCAGCGCTCTGCTATGGCCTGGGAAAGCAGTAGAAGATGGCTCAAGTCCTTGGGCCCCTGCACCCACGTGGGAGACCTGGAAGAAGCTCCTGGCTCCTGGCTCCAGATGGGTGCAGCTCGGGCCATTGCAGCCATTTGGGGAGTGAACCAGTGGATGGAAGACACTTTCTCTCTCTCTCTCCCCGCTCCCATGCCATCTGTTTGATTTCATTGAATTGATGGCCTCAGCTGGAACCACACACCCCAAGGGAGCAAGACAAAAGCACACAGGAAAGAAGATCCTGGGGTGAGTTTTCTAGGGGTGCGATGCGTGCATGCACACGCAGTGCCTCGGCCGATGGAGCACGAGCTCCTGGTCCCTGCTCTGCTGGCCTCCCCACCGGCCTCCCAGCCCTCTCCCCACACCTCGTGGCCTCCTTTCTGCCTAACTCCTTTCTCCCTCCTTGGAGCTCCCTCCTCCCAGGGTGCCCCAGGAGTGGGGCTGCACACTCCCGGGGGTCCGCAGCCGCCCGTGGCACCAGACCCGCAGCTGGACTCGGTTCATCAGCTGCTCAGCCAACAGACACTGCCACGTGGCCGGGAGAGGTGCAGAGGGTGAGGCTCCAACCCCATGTGGCCCCTTCCTGCCCCCAGGAGTCCCAATCCCCCAGCTGCTGGGGTGGCGTAGAGACGAGTGAGTGTCCTGGAAGCGCCCGGCTCCTCACTGGCACTGGGTAAATGCGCCATGATGCGCTGAGTAGTGGCCAGACCACACAAGGATGAATACCACAGCCCCCGATCCCACAGACGTCTGCTGGAGCACGCACAGCTTTCGTCCAAGTGGCTGACGGTCGGACGAGCGCCATGTCACGATATGGGCCAAGGAGCCACAGAGGATGGTGGGATGGCTTCAGGGGAGGCTTCCTGGAGGTGGTGACGTTTATCAGAGCTTCAAAGGCATGACACAGGGAGTCCAGGGAGTTGCATTCCTCTGCCCCGTGTGTGGCTACATCCCCTTGGGGTCTGCTAAGCACCAGCTTTTGGGTCACTGCTTCCGTTGAGAAGAACCTGCTCAAAACCACGGCCCTTCTTCCCCCACCCCGCCCCCCAACAGGCACATCCGGAGAAGTCTGGCTTAGCGACGAGTGCAAGCCCTCCCAGGCACGGAGCCCCAGAAAGCCGTCGGCCAGCCCTTGGCTAAAACCCCAGAGCTCAGAGGTCTCAGAGGTACCCACTCGCTGCAGACGGAACCCTGCCTCAGACAGAGCCTCTCTCTCTCTCTCTTTCTCTCTCTCTCTCATCTGCAGCTGTGCAGCACATGGGGTCCTTGACCCAGTCTGGAAAAGCCCATCGGGCACCGGGCTGCAGGGAGGAGCAGGGGCCTGGGACGGGGCGAGGCCCGGTCCTGGGAACACGCCCCGGCCTTGCTGAGTTTGTGATGTGGCCCCGGGGGAGCGCGGGCGGCTCTGCAGCCTCCCAGCCCAGCTGCTGACCCCGGGTGCCCGCCAGGCCGGACTTCCAAGGCTCGCAGCCCTCACCTTCTGCACCTAAACACCCTCAGCTGATCTGCGTCCTAGACTGCACCCAGCAGGCCAGGCGGGGGGGGGGGGGGGGACAGGAGCTGCTGCCACACCAGCCTCGCCAGCCACCCGACCCGCACTCACCCAGCATTAATGGAGCACCTGTTGTGTGCAGGCAGCTCTGAATAAGCCGGTGCAGGGTCCCCGCCCCTGGCTGGGAAGAGGATTCCACCCCCCCCCCAACCTGGAGCAGGTGGGTGCTTGGCAGGACATGGGTGCTGGGCGGTACCGGGGCACTGGCAGCAGCCTCAGATGCGGGTCTGCTCCTGGCCACTGCTCTCGACCTCTGGGTGACCCTGCACCTGCTTCTCCCCGCCCCGAGCCTCTGCCTTGGTCCATCCGAGGCCACAGCCGCCTTTGGCTTTGGAATGGTCTCACCGCCTCTTTCCCACCTCCACACATAGCGCAGCGGAAAAGGAGGCCGCCGGCAGCAGGCTGCGAGATCCTGGGCCAGACGGTCTCTGTATCTGGTTCACTCACCGGGACATTTAGTGGGCGCCTACTGTGTGCCGCACCACACATTCCAGCAGGTGAGCGCTGACGCCCTGCGGGCCAGCAGGCGGCCGTGGGGGCGTCCCGCGCGGGCCCAGCCGCGGATCCGGAGCGCCCCGGGACTCGCGTGTCAGCGCCGGCGGCGCGAGGGCCGCGATCTGTCTCCTCCCCTTCCTCCTCCCCGCCCCCTCCCCTTCCCTCCCCGCGCCGCCGCGGCCGCCTCCCTCCCTCCTTCCCTCCCGCGGGATCCCGGCTCCTGCGTCCGTCGGTCGGCCGGGCAGTGTGTCCGCGCGCGCGCGGCGCCCCGGGGCCCCACAGGGTAAGGGCACGGAAGCGGGACCGCGGCCCCCTCCCACTCCGGGGGGAGCCCGGGAGGCGGCGGTGCCGACGCGCGGGCGGAGGAGCAGGCAGAGCGGAGGTGAGGCGGGGAGAGCGCGGGTGCCCGGGGACCCCACCCCCGGCTCCTGCGGGGAGGTCTAGGCTGGGGGACCCGGCTGTTCCCCCCAGGTCGGGAGGCGGCGGCCATCCAGCTCCCGGCCTCGTCCCCTGCGTGATGTGACCCCCGAGGGGCCCTGGGCCGCGCCTGCAGCGCCGCGCACCCCGCACACCCCGCATCCCCCAGGGGAGGGGCGCGCTCGGGGAGGGGCCGAGGAGGGGGCTCTGCGGGCGGGGAGTCTCGGGAACCCGCGCCCCTGGCCCAGACCCAAGCATCAGGCCTGTCCCGAAGGGCCGCGGGCGGGGCGACCCCTCGCAGCCCCCCTGGCCGCCCCCCATCAGCTCCCCATTGTTCTCAGCCCAGCGCTCTCCTGGGAAGGGGGAGGGGGGCTGCGCGCTCCTCTTAAAGGGCCCTCTCCCCCTCTTGTCTCCCGGCAGGTCGCGAGCACGAGTGGGGTGGGGCGTGCCCACGGCCCCCGCCCCCCTCGCTCCCCTCGGCCCCCCGCCCAGCTCCAGAGCCGCAGCCCCGGGGCCCTCGGGCCGGGGGTCCGCGCTGTGCTCTCCTGCTGTGTTCTGCGACCACCCAGGCCTTCCAGGACACTGCTGTGGAGAGGGGACAGGGGGACAGGGCCGACCCTGCAGCAGGAGCCGTCGGGGAGGGGCGGACCGAGGCTGGGCAAGCCGCCCCGCAGAAGCTGAGCGCGGGGTCTGGGACGCAGTGGGAGCGCAGAGTGCCGGTGAGCGCCGCAGCGAGCAAGCGCAGGCTGGGGCCCGGCTCCTGGGTGACAGGCCCTGCCTGGCGGGGTGAAGAGGGCTGGAGACTGGACCTAGCCCAGGGGCTGAGCATCGGCGGCACCGGCATCGAGGAGCCCCTGTCCTCCCGGCCTAGGGGAGACACCTGCTGTGGCCGCATCCCTCATCTGAGACAGCCCCGCCGCCAAGGGGCCCTGGCGCCTGGATCTGCACTCGGGCTCCTTTGACTGAGGCCTCCAGGCCTGGGCAGGACCGACCTTGCTGCCCGCCTGCTCCCCGCCACCGGAGTGGGGCCCGGGGCGGTGGCAGCAGCCATGTCACGGCCAGGCCAGGGCGTGATGGTGCCCGTGTCCGGGCTGGGCTTCCCCCCGCAGAACGTGGCCCGGGTGGTGGTGTGGGAGTGGCTGAATGAGTACAGCCGCTGGCGGCCCTACACGGCCACCGTGTGCCACCACATTGAGAACGTGCTCAAGGAGGATGCCCGGGGCTCCGTGGTCCTGGGGCAGGTGGACGCCCAGCTGGTACCCTACATCATTGACCTGCAGTCCATGCACCAGTTTCGCCAGGACACAGGTGAGTCTGCTCCTACCGGCCCCATCCCCGCGGCCGCCACCGAAGGGGGCTGGGTGCTGAGATGCCACCCAGCACCCCAGGAGGAGGGGGCTGCAGACCGGAGCTGCAGCCTCCTCGCCCCACCCCCACCCCCAGGGACAAGGGACAATCCCGCCACGGCCCAGTTAAGACCTGGGTTCCAGTGCAGCATCTTAGATGAATTGTAGGGCCTCCACTTCCTTAGCTATAAAGCACACAGGTCTGTATCCCTAATAGACTGGTGCTCAGGACCCAGGAGAGCATTGGCGCTCAATTATTGACAGCCAGGGCCTTTGCTCTACTTCTTCCTTCGATTTCCCCCAACAACCACAGGTAGTAAACGTTACTACTGCTTTAGTAGTAGTAGTAGTGGCCGGCGTCGCAGCTCACTAGGCTAATCCTCCGCCTTGCGGCGCTGGCACTCCGGGTTCTAGTCCCGATCGGGGCGCCGGATGCTGTCCCGGTTGCCCCTCTTCCAGGCCAGCTCTCTGCTGTGGCCAGGGAGTGCAGTGGAGGATGGCCCAGGTGCTTGGGCCCTGCACCCCATGGGAGACCAGGAGAAGCACCTGGCTCCTGCCATCGGATCAGCGCGGTGCACTGGCTGCAGCGCACCGGCCGTGGCGGCCATTGGAGGGTGAACCAACGGCAAGAGGAAAACCTTTCTCTCTGTCTCTCTCACTGTCCACTCTGCCTGTCAAAAAAAAAAAAAAGTGGTAGTAGTAGTAGTAGTAGTAGCAGCCCATGTTACAGGTGGAGAAACTGAGTCTCGTGGAAGCTGAGGGATTTGAACTCAGAGGTGGGATTTTCACCCCTTGGGAATTGAATTCCAGAGCCGGAGCCCGTGGCTGATACCCTAGATGGGTCCCAGGTGGGGGTGGTGTTGGGGCGGTGATGACAGAGATGGCGTTGGCCGTGACGTTGGTGCTGTGCGAATGGTGGTGATGTGTCCTGGCAACGGTGGGCCAGGGCGATGGTGCTGGCGGTGGTAGTACTGCTTGTGGAGTGGTCGGTGTGGTGGCTCGGGCGGCTGTGTTGGTGGTGGTATCGGTGTGCTGTGTGGGGAGCAAGTGGCGGCAGTCTTGGTGGCCATGTGGGGCAGGTTGTCTGTGTGTGGGTGTTGCTTGGTGCTGTGGGTAGCACAGGGGTGGTGGTGATGTGGTGTCGGTGCCGACGTGACAGGTGCGGAGCAGAGGAGAGCAGCCAGGTCCACTCACGGGCTCACCCTTCCCTGCTGGCCTTCTGCCATCACCGGGCAGGTGTTCCTGGGGCTGCCTTGGTGGTCTCTATGGCTGCGTGGTGGGCAGTGAGGAGGGTGGGGTCCTGCCAAAGCACCCTTGGCACATTTGACCCCCGAGGGCCAGCACAGGGGGCTTTGGGGGCCATCCCTATGAAGCGATGGGGGACAGAACTGCACCTGGCCACCTTGGGGGTAGGGAGGACACTTTCCTCCTGTCTAGAGCTGCGCCGTCCAACCTGGCAGCCGCTGCCACATGTGGCTCCTTGAGCTGACATTAGTTCAAACGAAGCGAAGTTTCCAGTCGGGCTCAGCAGCCTCACTGGCCACACGTGAGCACCCGTGCACCTGCCGGGTCCTCGCCGAGGCGAGAAACACAGCTGAAGTCCTACCAAGTGGCTTCTTGCTGGGACAGTTCCGTCCCTCTCCATCTCCCCAGCTCCGAGCATTGGCCACAGCCAGGGATGCTGCCCGGCCACTGCCTAATCCTTTATGGGGCCCTGCTCAGTGGCAGACTCTACGAGCCACACAGGGTCCTCAGTGGAGGGGCTGCACCAGACATCCCACTGCAGTGGGGGGGCAGGCTGACTCCCGACCTCGCAGGCTGAGTGGCAGGGCAGAAAGTGCGAGGTGCACTTGTCTAGGCATCCCGGGGGGAGGCTAGTCCAAGGGAGTGAAGCGTGACCAGGGATGTGCAGAACCAACAGGAAAGAGCCAGTGTTTCAGGCAGTGGAAACAGCCAGTGCAAAGGCCCTGGGGCAGGAAGGCACAGAGCACATTTAGGTCCGCCGTGTAGGTGTGCAGTTTACAGGGGGAGGAAGGTATGAGATGAGCACAGAGCAAGCACCAGAAGCATGGGTTTGCTCCACAGTGGAAAGGACTTTGAATTTGATCCTGAGTAGGGGAAGTCACCCTCCAGTCCTTGTCCCCATTCCTCCAGAGGGGCATGGAGGCGCTGACTGAGAAGTGAGACGGGCTGGCCGTGTGAGCGTGAAGGTGGAGGCAGGGGTCTGATGGCAGGGGTCTGGTGGCTGGTCTCCTGCTCGGTGGTTTGCTACCCTGGGGCTTCCAGGCCAATGTTGGGGGAGATTTCCCAGGTCCCAGCTGGGACAGGGAGTCACAAAAAGCAGGGACAGCCCTTTGCCAGGCTGGCAACCTCGCCTCCAGCCCCCTCCCCCTGCGCGGGGCCCTCTCCTATTCCCAGCACCCCCTCTTGAGCTCCTGAGCCCCTAGCTCCCCCCACCACGCCCTAGCAACAGAACCGATACCCTCCATGCTGCCCCCTCTGTTACGGCTCAGCCTTGCTGCGTTCCCAGAAGAGCAGCTCCGGTCACTTCCCGGCACCCCCTGCTAGCGCTCCCCGGAGCGGCTCACTCCACACCTGCCCCTGTTTGCCGGAAAAGGGAAAAAACCGCCCATCCCTCTGCAGGCTGCTGGCCGCCCGCCGAGACCCCCCAGGCAGGGAGAAGCGCCTGGAAACCCGCGGGGGCTGGCAGGGGAACGCTGCTGGGCGGGGGGGGACCAGCTCCCACTTCACCCAGGAGCAGAAGCTTGGCAGGAAAGCAGCGCTCGTCCCCACTGTAGGTGACCCGGAAAGAGCGAGCCTGAGTCCCGGGCTCCCCTCTGCACTGGCCAGCTGTGTGACCCTGGGCGGTGGCCTCCCCTCTGCATGGCGGCTTGAACATCTGTGCACCGGGCAGAACACTGCATCTAGCAGGGTTGTGGGGATGCAGCCCTCATACTGGGGCTGAGGGGACCCCAGGGGAGACAATCGAGCCTGCTATGCCCCCCCAAATCACCCAGGCACCCACTGTGTACCTGGCAGCTGCTCAGGCTGTGGGTGCAGGAGAGATGAGTTAGAGACCCTAACTCTTTTTCTTTAAAAAACATTTATTTATTTATTGGTGAGGCAGAGTTACAGGCAGAGAGAGGGAGAGGCAGAGAGGTCTACCACTCCCCAGACGGCCACAATGGCCGGAGCTGCGCCGATCCGAAGTCAGGAGCCAGGAGCTTCTTCCAGATCTCCCATGTGAGTGCAGGGGCCCAAGCACACGGGCCACCCTCAGCTGCTTTCCCAGGCCGTCAGCAGGGAGCTGGGAGACACTGCATCTTGCAAACTAGCACAAAGCTGCAAAACCCGCAGCTCGTGCACATGTGCGGAGAGGAGCGTGGCTGCCTTGTAGATTTCCCGACGGTCGGGTTCCTGAGAAGTCGTTGGCGCTGTGCTGACACGTGGGAGGCGGGGAGCCCCCACCGCAGCAGCTGCCCACTGTCTGTGTTGGGTCGAGGGGTAGCTATCTTGGGCTTTCAGCTGGAGAGTATTCAGGGACCCACAGGCTCCGTGGCCGCTACACTAGACAGTATGTAAATGAAGGAGTGTGTCTGTGTCGGGTGAAACTCGTTGACACTACGATTTGAATTCCATGCCGCTGTCATGGTTCACGGGAGCTTCTTATTTTCAAACGTAAACACTGCTCTGAGTTCCCCAGGCTGCATGAGAGCAGGTGGTGGCCACACGTCCTCGGCCTGCCCTGCCCGTTGGGTGAGGCCATGCTCTCGCCATGCAACACCCCGCATGATGCATGTGGCGTGTGCCACATGTGTGTGCATGCGTGCACACAGCACCAGCCTGCTTGTGCACGTGCCTCGTGTGAGCCAGTGGAAGAACACCCAGGTGTCAGAGCCTCTAGGGAGAAGCCAGGCCCTGGTCCCGTGGGGACCAGTGTGCGTTCAGCTGCCGCCCCGCGTCTTTCTCCTGCTGGGCTGTCTCCCCCGCTCATCACCATGGCGTGAGGTCCCCCCCATGTCTGAGTGTGCGCTGGGAACCAGAGTCCCCCGCTTGGAGGCAGTATGCTATGACCCTGGGCCATGGGACCCATGAACGCAGTGTCCCAGTAAAGGGGCGCGGGGGATGGCCAGAGACAGGCACAGGCGCGCTCAGGGCTGTGGGCTGTGCCCGCTGGGCCCGGCAGTGGGGGAAGGTGTGGGGGTGGCTCTGCCCCCGGAAGAGGCCGCCACTTCCTCGGGAGCCATCTGCATCCCCTGCTGTGGGCACAGCAGCCTGCGGGGGCCTCACCAGACCCCGCAGCTGGACGGAGTGGGGGTGGGGGTGCTTGGCCACTTCCTGGCTGCTTCCAGGTCACTCCCAGGTCCCCTACCTGACTGATGGCCCCCATCCTGCATTCCATCTGCCGCTGGAAGGGCTCAGGGCGGCTGCCTGCCCGTCCTGTAGATGGGGCAGCAGAGGCCGGCGGAGGCCAGGCTGGGTGGCCCTCCACAAAAGCTGCGCCTCAGGCTGCAGGCAAGGCTGCATCGGGGCTTGCAAGCCAGCATGCTGGCGTGACAGGTGGCAGCCGGCTCCAGCGTCTCCCAGGCTCAATCCATCCCCGGGCAGCTTGGGCTCCACTCAGCCCTGGTGCCTGCCCTCAGGGAAAGTCCAGGCTGGCACAGTTAGGCTACTGAGGTCAGGGTGCCACCACTGGGAACAGGACCTCCAGACGGGAAGACTGAGGCCCAGAGAGGGTGGGTGACTTGCCCAAGGTCACAAAGCCTGTTAGTCCCAAGCTAGAACCCAGGTCTCCAAGCAGGGACCAGGGATAGAAAACCAGGCGACACCGGATGCCAGGGCTGAGTTACCTTCTCCTTCACCTTGGAGGGGGCTCTGCTGAACTTGTTGTCAGGGCCCGGACCAAGGCAGAGCCAACCTGTGCTACCCTGGAGGCCTCCGGGGCCCAGCTCCCTGGTTACAGGACCCCTGGGGACCCAGAGCCAGCCGAGCTGGGCCACCCTCGGGCTGGGTCTAACACCCTGGGGAGGTGTTGCCCTGTGGCGGCAGCCGCAGGTGCACCTGAGCTGTACATGGGCCCCTCCTGAGACCGTGCCCGCACTGCCTACAGGTCCACCACCGCAGAGCCATTCTTTGACCTCCGCCCACTAGTGCAGCTCCAAGAGCCTCGTCCAATACCAGAAACTCACCGCCCCTGTTATTGCGTGGTCCCTGGTGCCTTCTCAGTACCAGGCCCCGGGCTGGGTCTCGGGACCACCAGAGAGGACAAGATGAACCCATCTCAGCGTGCAGTAGAGCAGAGGCAGACACGGCTCCCAGGCACAGCGTTCGAAGGCGCCGGCTCAGGAGGCCAGCGGCCTGGCCGGCTGTGTGGCCGCGGTCAAACCCTTCACCCCCCTGAGCTTTCCTCTCCTCCCTGCAAAATGGGGGTGAGCATGTCCCTTCCCGAGGGGGCTGTCCTGAGGGTGCAGTGAGATGGCGGCGCGGGAACAGGGGCAGCGCTACATGGCACGCCCCTTGCAGCCAGCCCCCTGGGGGGAGGGGCATCCCAGGGTGCCTTGGACTGGGGGCGCTCCGAGCAGCCCTCCCCCCCACCGTGTCTGGTGCGGATAAACAGGTGGATGGGAGGACGCATCTAGGAAGAAAGAGCAGCGGGCGCTCCTGGGGAGAGTCGGGACTGAGGGCAGAGGAGGCGGTGAGGAGCGAGGGGGGCAGGGGAAAGAGGCCTCCTGGGGCCCGACAGGCCGGGCGGCCAGCTGCTACCCTTTAGCGGCCAAGCCCCAGGGGACCCTGAGCCAGGCTGCAGGACCAGCCCCGGGAGCCAGGGCCCGAGCAGGTGGGGCAGGGGCTGCTAGCTCAGGCCCCTCCTCCCTCTGCCTGGGCGCCCTTCACCCAGCCAGCATGTAGGGGGTGTGGGATTGGTGGATCCAAGGCTGCAGCAGGGTGGGGGCGGGGCTGCTCCCAGACTCCTCCTGTGCCAGGTTCCGGCTGCCCCAGGACCCTGGACAGCGCTGCCAGCTGCCCCGTCCCTCCACACCCGAGGGGGCTGGGGTGGGACAGCCTGGGTCCCCGCCCCCCCTTCTCCCTTCTCTGTTTTCTGCTTCTGCCCATCCCCCAGCCTCTTCTCCCCAAGGGAAGAAAGGTGATGGGCACTGGGCCGAGGAGCGAGGTTAGAGAGCGAGGGCGGGGTGGGGGAGGTGATGGGAGGGCGGTGTGAGGTGAGCTGGGGACGAGAACCGGGAGGTGACAGGCATAGGACTGGGGCTGGCACGGGGGGCATGAAGGGGGCTGACCCCGATGGGGAGGCACCAGGGCTGTGGTGGAGGGTGAGGAGGTGAGAAGGTGTGACAGGGGAGATGTGCAGTTCTGATGGAGGACGGAGGAGGGGCAGAAGGAGCTCGGATGGTGGCGGTAAGGGAGCATCCTGGGAGATGGACGTGTGTGGGTGTGGGGCTGTGCTAGGGGTGGGAGGAGATGAAAGGAGTGGTGGTGGACATTAGAGACGGGGTGAGGCTGGCCGGCTGGGGAGCTGACGGGGGGGCAGGACTGATGGAGGAGCCCACTCAGGTGGCCGACAGTGGGGTCCCCAGTGTGGAGTTCGTAGGGGCCCAGGGCCTGCTGTGGCCTCGCACTTTGCCTCTGGGTCACCCAGTTCCTGTGCCAGCCGGTCCCCAGGACAACCTCCAGGCCCCTATGTAATCACCCCCAGAGTCACCCCAGGGCATGGGGCCCCCAAAACCTGGAGCCGGCTGCCTTGGGGAGCCTCAGACTCTGGGTCCCTTCCCAGCAGCTCACTGGGATTGTGGGAGCAGGTAGACCACAACGTCTCTGCCTGTCATATGGACCCAGTGGCAGTCATGGAGTTGTCCAGATCCATTCACTCAACAGGGATTTAGTGAGCACCTACTATGTGCTGGGCACTAAGAATGCCACAAGAAAGAGGACAGCTACCATGCCCCGCCCCCAGGGTGCTCTGTTCTGGCGAGGGTGCTGGTTGTGACACACGTGGCCAGGCACCAGGGAAGCCCCAGGCTGGGGGGTCTGTTCCTGGCCTTGGTCCCCGAGGAGCTGCCAGGGTGGGGGCCGAGTCTTGGAGAGAGGCCCACGTGGTGGGGTCCAGGCCCTGCAGCCCAGCTCAGATCTCTCCTGCTGGCTTCTGCTGCACAGACAGCGGCGGCAGGCGGGTGACAGGGTGCAGGGGGGAGCCTGGCACCAGGCCCTGGAGCCAAACAATTGCAGCAGCCATGGCGGGGCCGCCTCCTCTCCTGGTGACAGCCAGGGCCGCCTGGCCTCCGTCCCCCTCTCTCTGGTTGCAGGCAGCGCCTGCCAGGGAAGGCTCAGAGCTCACCCACAGCCGTACCATCGTGGGGCGCCCCGGCTTCCTCTGTCCTAGGGAACAAGAGGCCACCATGCCCAGGGGTCGGCCTGCTGGTGCCGTAGAAAGCACAGTCAGGGGCCTGAGTTCGAGATCTGCTTGTGGGGTGACAATTTTCCTGCCGACACAGGGGCTACAAATTCGGATGCTGACAGGGCCTGGGCAGAAGTGTGTGCGGCTGCTGGGAAGGCAGAAGTTTTTAAGTGTCTTGTTCTCCAGCGCCTGGTATGCAGTAGGTGCTCAATAAATCCCTGAAGGTGCAAACGTGGCGAGATGACTGCGCACCTGCCTCCTGGTGCCGGGGAGGCCCGTCCTGGGGCCATGTCTTTGGATATTTTGCAATTTTGGAAATCCAGACTTGCATGAGTCTAGCCCGGTTTTTAAATATTGCCCACTACTTTTAAACATTAGAAATGACG